AGTTGGGAATTTCAGTTTTAATAATCGTGAATTTAGTTTTTTTATGATAATTTTTTTGAGAATATTTCCCATCGTTAAAGATTTTTAACAATATTTACTGGAAAATTATCCATTAATATATACATTTGAAGACCGCCCGGTGGCGAAGTGGTTAGCATGTCGCGCAGCTGCACCACAGGTCCGGGACACGATCCCCGGGCAAGGTTGACTCAGCCTTTCATGTTACTAATTCCAGAAAAAATATTTGCATGAAATTTGGGAGATATTTTCTTCAAATATTTTCTGCAAATAATAGAGAGTGCAGTTTAAGTTGAAATGTTTACTAAGTTACATCAATATGATAAATTTTAATGTATGTATTTTAATGACGTCCTTCCTTTGTATTTGATATGAAGATTGGATAATGTTGGGCTAAGTACTGTCTTCTTACTGGGAAGAAATTTCTTGTTATCACAGGTCTCTTCCTTGTTATGCTTGTAAGATATTATCTCATGATATCGATATATAAATTAGGGACACAAGTAAACTGCAACTGTTTAACATTTCAATGATTATGGTTTCTGTAGATTCTTTTCAGTCTTAACCATAATTGTTTCATCACTTAATAAATGTTGAAAATTTAATTCTACTTTTCAAATAATCCTCATTATTTGCTGCACCAAAAAAAACTTCGAGAAATATTTCCATTTATATGCAACTACCAACTACGCGGCCAGCCTTCGTCTGGCTTTTAAATGTACCGTAAAAATGCGTAAAGGGAACACCAATCGTTAAATTTAAAAAATTGAAATTTACTTTGCAGAACAACTTCGTATTAAAAAAAAAATCTGAAAGGTTTCAGATTTTCAATTACGTCCAAAGGGACGTTTTTTTAACGTTTTGTGTGTTACCTTTATTTATTAAATATCATGTTCTTTACACTTAAACCTACAATTTTTCAATAGCAATGTCGCAAAATAGCAATGTCGCAAAATAATTTTAAAATGAACATATCTTCAGAATTTCCGATACACAGTTCCGCGAGCTGAAGATAAAAATGATTTTTTCTCCCGTAGAGTGTTGCCATTGCTCGCTTTGAAATCCTTGAGTTTGTTAATCAAAAATTCGTTAAAGGTTTACAAAATATGAAATCGATCATAAAACAAATTCCAAATTTCAAATTTGGGCTTCCAGAGGCCCATATTCGTAGAATGATAAAGTCTTTCAAAATTCGATGGCTCTATTTACGTTGTTTTATCACAATGCGAGAAATAGACATACATTTATGCGGATTTTTCATTATTTAAATTCTTCAAATATAATGCAGGACTCTAGCATTTGGCGGCAACAGTTTGAAAAGCGAAACGGACATTTATAGTGATTCAACGCAAAATCTCAAAACGAAAACAATAGTCCTTCCGGAACAAAGCCCCTTTGGACTATAAAAAAAATATAAAAAAAGTATTACATATAACAAAATTACATTGAAATAAGCAATATCCCTTAATACAAATATTAATTATCCTAATAAATAAATTACTCAACTTCCCGTTGCAAAATCTTAAGAGTTCAACTGTTATAAAGGAAGTAAAGAACTCTGTTTTCTAAAAAATCATGCAAAACATTTACATATGTAAAATTATATATAATTAAAGCATAATATAAAAATTACAATGAAATAATTAATAAATCTTATATTTTCAAGAGAAAACAGTCAGCAGTCCAGTATCCAAAGCAATGAATGAAAACTGTTGCCAAAACCATATTTCTAAAAGAATGAAACTATCGTCAGAAAGCAATAACCAATCAAAATTATGCTTTGTGGATGACATAATTCAAAATATACAAACCTCTTTGCCATTGCCTAATAAGGAGAGAGAGAGGGGGTAAAAGGGAAATTCTTTCTATTCTGCCTAGCGAGACACATGCGCGTCAGAATAAGCAGATTGCGATGTGCGTGTCCAAAAATCGAAAGAAAAAAAGCAGAATTTTATCTCATATTTTCAACAGTCAGCAGTCCAGTATACAAAGCATTGAATGAAAAACTGTTGCCAAAACCCCATTTCTAAGAGAATGAAACTATTCAAAATGATTCGATTTCATCAAAAGAGATCAAATAAGAAAAAATCTGATTTGAATTTTGAAAAACTCTCTTCGAGGTGCAATGGCTCTTGTCTAGGTGCACCTATGTATTAAATTTCGTAGCCCTGGGTCTATTAGCTTACGCGCAGCACGAAAGACACACGCACTCTTTCTTTTATTATATGTAGCACGCTACCTTATAAAGTCAAAGTTTTGATTTAAAAAAAAAAAAAAAAAAAAAAAAAAAAAAAAAAAAAAAAAAGTAGGCAGTTTTATTATGCCTAGAGGAGTACACAAGTAAAATTTTGTGAAGATAGCACTTATCGTTTTAATTGTGTGGGTGTGCCCAAAGTGGCACACTGATTGAATAGAGGTTCGAAAAAAGTGCTGAAACGAGCATTCTTGTCAATGAACTGACCGATGAGATGCAGAGAAACAAAGAATACAGACTCTCAGTTGTTCTAGATGATCGGTGAGCCCTGGTCTGGGCAACACCTAGGGTTCGCCGTTTATTTTAGGCAAGATTTCAAGGCAAAAATTTAAAACTAATATAGAATAAGGAGATTAGCATACAGCCAAAAAATTGACATAGAAATTTCTTTTCAAACCAACTTCCTTTTATTCCCCTAAAAAAGACCTGAAAGATTTCTTTGAAAAATGAAGGTCTTAAAATCTAAACATGGCTAAAATATATGGAGTGGTTTGTGTTGAGCTGCCATCTAGTATAAATAAAGAAGGTTCAGAGTAACCTATAGTAATGTATAAATCCTTTTCCATTCAATTTTTCTGTGCGTACAGAAGGAAATTTTTAGGTGTGTCCAGACCGGACACACTGTGCCGCAAAGTGTTAAATAGCTGTGTATTTTTAAAATGTAAAATGTGTTTACAGAATTATATTTGCTTACACTTTGCGCTAAAGATTATTTCAAAGCTTAAACGTAGACTTTTGAAATGACTTCGTATGCTATAACCTCAGGGTATGAACGAAAGGCTCATGACACGCAAGAGGATAATAAAGGTGTATGAAAAGGCTGTTGATTTAAAACAATTGTTAAAAAGTGAAGCTGCATTTTAACTGAGATAGTGTCAGAGTGTGGTTTTGCTGGATAATTATGTCGCATGAATGGAGTTGCCCTATTTGTCATTCTGTACCCGTGCAATGGAGAGGAAGCGAAGAATCGGTGAGGAATTATATTGCCAAAGAAAGATACGAAAATATGTTCTTTCACACTAAGCAAAATTTATCTTTTAAAGCAAAATTTCTCTTTAACTGCTTGATGTACACGTGTCTTTGACTATCTATCTTCACAATGGTAAATGGAAACTGCCAGCAGGAATATTAAAATATTTTGTAACTAGCAACTCTGTTCTAATTCTTTAGATTTCCTTTCTTGGTTTAGATTTATTAACTTGTAAGAACAAGAATTTAAGTTTTTCCTTTAAAATGAATCTACTATTTTCTAAAGCAATGTTGCAACATATCTAACGCACTGATGCGTGAAAAATAACCGCTCCGTCATAAACTGTTATAAATTGCAGGATTTGTACAAATGGAGCAAATTGGTGTCTTTATTTCCTTCTGTGACACTCTTGGACAACAAAATATTGCAAATCTAGAAGAAGGAATACAGTGACAGAATGTTAAATTTACTGTGATGGCTTCAGGATTTGTTGCAAGGGTCAGATACCATAAAACCGCCTTAAATAGCCTACGTAACTGCAAGAAGAACGATTTAGAAGATTTTTATTACGACGACTTTAAAATTACTAAAAATGGTTTTTAAGTTCAAAATTATAGCAAATAGTAACAGAAGGCCAAAAGTTTTGTAAAACAAATTTTGGAAAGTAGAAAATAAGAGATTCTTACTTTAAATAGAATTGATATACTTGATGAAATACTTGAGAGAATAAAGCCTAACGTTAATTTCCGACTAATTGTTCATAAAGTGTAGCTTTATGCTATGAATTTTTAACTTATAGCTTTTTAACTTATTATGAAAGCTGTATGATATATGAAAGCTATATGACCAGATATAATGATTTTGCAGGACAGGAAGCCATGCGCAGACTATGTTATTTCCTAGCTCTATTTTCGTTTTGGCATTTTGCGTTGGTTCACTATAAATATCCGATTCACTTTTCAAATTGTTGCCATCAAATATTACACCCTGTATTATATTTAAAGAAACTAATGAAAAATCTGCGTAAATGTATTATGTTTCTCGCATTGTGATAAAACAAAGATACATAGAACCATCAAATTTTGAATAACGTACGCTTCCACCCGAATATGGGCATCTGGAAGCCCAAATTTGGAATTTGTTTTATTATCGATTTCATACTTTGTAAACCTTTAACGAATTTTTGATTGGCAAACTCAACGATTTCAAAGCAAGCAATGGCAACACCCTACGAAATAAAAAAAAACATTTTTAGCTCCAGCGCGCGAGACTGTGTATCGGAAATTCTTAAGTTATGCTCATTTTAAAATTATTTTGCCATATTGCTGTGGAACGGAATTTTATGGTTCAAGTGCGAAGAAAATGACATTTAATCAATAAAAGTAAAACGCAAAACGTTAAGAAAAACGCCCCTTTGGACGTAATTTTAAAATTTGAAACCTTTCAGATTATTTATTTTTAATTAATTATTTATTTATTTTGGAGTAGGAGACGTGAAAAATGAGCAATGCTTACGCCGGGTCTCTACCTGGACCTCTCGAATACGCGAAGAGCGTGCTAACTATTACACCACGAGAGCATGCAGGAAAGAGGGAGTAAATACTTTATATACTCCCCCTTTTAAAGGGCGACCGGGGATTGGGGAACCTAAACGCCAAATCCTAAGGGGTGAAGAATTATCATCCACCGCCTTTTTGTTCGGGTGCCACTGTAGAAACATTAGGTTTTTTGCATGTGGGAGACCTGAATAATGAGCAATGCCCTCGCCGGGACTCGAACCTGGGACTCTCGAATATGTACCGAGTGTGCTACCGTTGCACCACGAAGGCATGCAGAAAAAGGAAGGGGGAAATACTTTATACTTATATTGATAGCATTTACACATAAGCGCTTATACCTGCTTTAGATCTGGAAGATCGTATCTTATTGCTAGCATAATATCACACAAATTCATGACTGAAATCGAGTTTCGAAAGTATCATAGATATACTAGAGAAAAGTGGCTGAGCATTATGGTCTGTTTAATCGAAGCTATAGTTGTTTCGTAATTAGTAGTGCTTTAAATACGGAGGTAGGCTCATGAATCTATGAACACTTCTCTGCAATTTATTTTTCTGAATGTACGTTGCTCTGAGATGAATCAACACTCATCAGAATACCTACATGTACTCTCAACGATCTTGATGACAAAGGCGTACTTTAACAAGATAATGAGATCCACTGCTTTCGCTATCCAGCAATGGATCGCATTACATTATCAAGATTTTATTCCGTAAAGTTATAACCTATCCTTTGAAAATTTTTGCAGGGTAAAATGGAAAAAAAAAAGTATAGGATATATTAAAGCAAGTATATGATCTAGGAAACCAGAGTTACAGAGTTACATTTCAGAATATCATCGCTTTATTGCAATTAACCATATCGCATTTAAGAAAATGCCTATTTTTAATAATTGTATTTAAAAAAATGCCTATTTTTAATAATTGTATTCAAAAAAAGGCCCAATTAATTAAGAAAAACCAGGAGATAATTCGTCATCTACCGTTTCCAAAACGATATGAATAGCGTGTGTGTGTTTGTGATTATGGCAAATGCTATATCGAGGGCTATCTGCCTAAGGGGAGGGACGCTATGAATAGCAAAATAGTGTGAAAGGGAGAAAAATTGTGTGTAGTTATAAAAGTGAAAAGTTACAAAAGTGTGCGTGTAGTTATAAAAATGTGAAAGTGAGCAAAACTGTGTGTAGTAATGCGGTTAATAAAATCTATTGTGATATTCTGCGTCCCTCAAATTGCTTTCATTTTACAAGCGATATGGTACAGTTATAGCGAATGCATATTGACAGCTATCCCTAGGGAAAGGTACCGGCAACTTAATTTTCAATACTTGAATGCAATTGACTTTCTTCTTCTTCGCGGGAAAACTAAAAGAGAGCTAACCTTTATTACATACCTATCGCATATCTTTTGATCTTTCAGTGTGTGCTTTGAATGTAAAGAATAATTTATGTACAAAAATCTTAATATTGTTACGAATTTCGTACATATAGGGGTAATTTTAGTGAAAGCCTATTAACATTGATTAAATGGCTATCTCTGTAATCTGGCGACATATCGCTAAACTGGCAAAGGTTTCTGTGACTAATTTTTGTCGCCAAATTTGGCGACAGTTCGCAAAAGTCTCCAAACGTCGGTACCATTTGGCGACATTTTGTTCCGATCGTTATTTATCTGTAATGGGCATCGTAACTGAATAATTGTGATTGATGTTCTGTGTAACTGTAACCGTATTCGACTCTCATATGCCTTCCAATAATTTTGAGAAGCAGAAAATACTAGAAATATCTCGGCAGACGGGGAGAAACTAAATAAGACCGGAGGAAGTATTGCTTTTTGAATAGTAGCTATGAGTTGTTTAGTTCAAAGTTGACTTCGGAGTATTAAGATACCTGCGGGTTAGTTTCGTTCTTTAGATGCGCTTTGCATCCCCTTGTGTTTAACCTTCTTAGTAGTTTGAAGTGTAACTACTGATTGTACTTTGTGATGCTGTGAAGAGTTATGCGATTAATTTCATGGAAAGTTCCAGCACTATGAAGTGTTGCCTTTGATAAAATAAATTTTATCATTCCTATCATCGGACCTGTGTGCATTCAGTCTATTACAAAGGCGTACGCACGTAATAATATTATTTTTATTTTGTAAAGTAATATATTTTTGCTTCTCTTTTAATAGTAGGTTATATTGTATTAGCCATTGTTTTGTTAGTTATTCAGTTTTTATATTTTATATAGAAAGCTTCTTAAGAAGTAGCGCGTGACGCGTTTGTCTGAAAGTTACGTGGGAATTGTCAATTGATTATTTTCCTACTTTCCTTACTGTTTCTATTATTAACTCATTTATGATTTATTTATTGTTGCTTGCTAAACCTTGAGTAAGGGTAAACTGTTAATTACTTCACACCGAGTTTGAAGTTTTATAATATCAGATTCATTTCTACTGTTTTCGAAATCTATGCAATTTTTTTACTTTTCATGATTAATAATATTTTATGTATAAAAGTCTTAATGAAGTTTACGATACAAGCCTATCGTCGAATATAATTCACCAGAATTTTTTTTTATAATATCTTCATCAATGTTTCCCCATTTTCCTGTTATTCGTGTTTTTAGTTCGGTTTATGATTTTATGTCGCATCTTCGTACTCTAACCTGTATCTTCTCTAAATGCGTTTTATCGGTATTAATTTAGTGAGTGAGATGGTGTTTTTAAAACTTGGGGATAATTACGACGTTTTCTTACTTCAGTTTTCCTTCCGATTTTCTTCGTCAGAGCATTTCTTACGACTACGAAAAATTTTTAAATATGAATTAAATTATAACAAAATAAGCAAAGAATAAAGGCAAACGAATTTGTAAACGTTATCAAAATGAAAAAAAATCGTTTCATAATATTTTATTTATAAAATTTTACAAAAATGTTTTGGTGTACGATCCCTTTTGTCGTGTGTCTTATCTATGCGTACTTACATTTCATTGTAGAAAAAAAAAAGGTCTGCCTTAAAAAAAAAAATAAAAGTTTGATTATTCAAAATCGCATGGAAATGGTATGAAAAAATCAGATGTGTACACCACATGACTTCCTTGTACGGAATATTAAATTATACGCATTTTTTCTTGCATTTCATTTAAACTTATTGGATTGAATTAAATCTACTTCGCCGATAGCGCATAAACCACAATAGAATAAATGCACTCTTTAAAATTCACTCTAGTATTTATTTACCATAGCAACACCCTCGCGCTAGATTCACTTAACAGTATTATATTTCATTCATATTATAACTCATAATGCACAAAATTTATATCATTTAAAGAATAGAATTATCTAATCGTTGCCACATGTTCTTTTCAAATACTATAATAAAGCTCGAAAGATGTATAAAAGAAATTAAGCAAATAAAACAAAAAAGAAACAGTTTTTCACAGACGATTGAGTATTTCTCATTCAATAAACTCAGTTCTCACTTCGCGAGAAGGCAAAAATACATAAAAACTCAAAATATCTATATTAAAAATTACGAAATAAATCTTAAACACTTATTTCCTCGAAAAAAATTCAAGAAAGGATTAAGCATGATTTAATTCGCAATAATAAATGAAAGCGTTATCTTTGTTGTTGCGAAGCTAAGTTTCTCTGCATTGGCAACAAATCCACTAGTCTGCTGTTTCAAATGTAAACGATCAATGGCCGCCATAAAAAAAGGCTTAGCGGCACTTAAACAACTTTAAAATTGTTGATAATTCTAAAAATATTGCATACAGATTTACTAAAGGCATAAAATCCTTAACCGGAAGATAAAAACAACATAATTCATTCATTTTTAAAGCAAAAAATGTACAATTTACAAACATATAAGAGTAAAGAAACTGAGATCACTGAGCCGGGTAACAGACTGGATATATATATAAATATATTTATATACGTTTGGTGGGGCCGATTGCAACCAAAATACGAGGTGCACATCTACATATTATAGCAGTCCTATATACAAAATTTCAACGTTCTGAGGCTACTCGTTTTTGAATTATGCGAGATACGTACGTACATACGTTCGTACAGACGCCACGAAAAATTCTCTTCAGAATTAATTTTAAAGCAGTTTTATAATTTTTTTGGAGGAAAAGAGTGTTTTATTCTGTCCTTACGTACAGATATCACGGAAATACATCGTTAAATTGCATTCGAAAGAGGTTAAAATGGATATTTTCGTTGAAATATGCTGCCTGAAACTTTTCGCGATTACAATACTTCCTTTTTACTTCGTACAATTAAGTAAAAATAATGAGCTTTATATTCCAATTCAATTCCGGGTTACAGTGCTTTTCTACAAATACTTAAAGTGTCCGAACACTTCTGGAAGCCACTGTATTTAGAGGTACGTGGAAGAAAAAAAGCAAAAAAGGGTTAAAAAAGTACTGATTTTTACTAAAGAAAACACTACTGTAAATAATTTTATTGGAAAAAAGTGCAATAGAGATATATTAAACATGCCATATATAAGACTTCTTTTGCATGATATGCCAGTAATAATCTCTCTGCCAACGGAAAAAAAAAAAAAAAAAGTTTTTTTTTTTGCTTTAAAGAATTCTTAAATGATGTCTAGGAAGATAAAAGAATGGTAAAAAAATCCCGATTTCTTTTTCATGCTGAACTTAATGTTACGTTACTTTTCAAATTCATAGACGTATTACTTTCCAAATTCATAGACGTATAAATGTAAACTTAGGAGAAAAAATAACTTTAAGGTATTTCTCCCGCCCTTCTTGGCATGCCTTCCTGGTGTGGTGGTCTGCACGCTGGGGACGTATTCCAGAAGTCCGCGGTTCGATTGAGGCGAAGGCGTTGCTAATTTTTCATCTCTTTTGATTCCAAAAATTACCTAATGTCTCTACAGTGGCGCCCGAACTAGAAAGGTTGTGGATAATGATTCTCCTCACCCAGGATTTGGCGATTGGTTCTCCTAAAAACCCTAGTCGCCCTTTAAAAGGGGGAATATATAAGGTATTTCTCCCACCCTCTAAGCATGCCTTCGTGGTGTGGTGGTCTGCACGCTGGACGCGTACTTCAGAGGTACGCGGTTCGATTCCCGGCGAAGGCGATTGTTCATTTTTCATCTCTCTTGCTTTCAAAAATTACCTAATGTCTCTACAAATGTACATTTTGAGTAAAATTTTGTTGATTTCCGAGGAGCTGTGAGATATCTCCCTCATATCTGCTTATGAAGCAGAGAGACCCACATCTGTTTGCCTTTAAAATTGACAGAGTTTATT